GTCCATTGAGAGAGACAAAAGCAACTCTGTTTCCAAGAGAACGTGTGACTGAAAACTACAGTTTTTCCTGTAAAATACTCACAACCAAAAGTGTATTTTGGAGAGATGCATTTTTAGGACATATGCAAACATGCTTGCAGAAGAAATTATATTTAGTAAGGAATAATTACAAACTATCGCCCCGTGTAAAGACCTTACCCATGTGGATTTGAAATTTCAGGACTTCAGTGGTCAACGAACGGAACTTAATTCACATTTCTCTCCCTCTGTTGGTTATTTTGTATTCTAGATCGTATACAGATATTGAGGACTGGGGATTCACATGAAACCTAAGCAGAGTTAATTAACTGCACCTGTATGCATATGCTCCGGGCTTGAAACTGTGATGCTCAATTGCATCGTTAGATTACAGACAGTTAGGATAACAGTGCGTTTTCCATGCTAAATCAATGCTGTAGCTGGGCATCAAGTATAATGTCGAGTTATGAAATATATAGCTGTCTTGCAAAGTGGGCCATTAACATGCTAAATAAATAACATAAAAAATAAACATCAAATAGCACACCTCTGTGTGGCTTTTTCACCACATCGCATAGTTTAAAATCTCAAGTGTGAAAACTTATAAAAGGTTTTCACCGCATTTTTATTAAATACCGTACTCTGCAAAAGTTTCAAGACACCCCTCCTTTCTTTGTATTTTGCTTCCAAGCAGCCAGACTTTCTTGTGTTTTTTTTTTAAGTGGTCTTAAGTATCATTTCTCCAGGCTTTCTGAACGTTTTTCACTCATTTTTAGTCCAGTCCTCGTACCTGAGGAACAAAAATTACTCTGCAAGTGGCTACTTAAGCTACTTAAGGCTACTAAAAAAGGCCATAAAAGCCACCTAACTCAAGGGATGAACCAGTATTGGGTGTACACATAACAGAAAATTAACAATGGGTCAATTTTAAGTTCTGTCTTTATGAACTTTGTGACTCACAGTTGCACGTGCATTGCAAAAAAACATAATTTGTGTCCATTTCTTTAGTTCAACCTACAAAAAATGCTTAAGATAACACAGTTTGACAGGCATAAAAGGTGATTCCCAAAGAGCTTTCAGCCAAAAACTTGGCATGTCTCAGCATGCTATGTAGCAGGTGAAAATTATCTCAAAGTTATTTCTTTAAGAAATAGGAAAAAAATCCAGAAAAACCCTGACACAGGACCTGAAAGAGATATCTAGTCTTTCAGCTGATTCATATTTCCTGAAGCCGCATCAGACACATTCAAATATTATGTGGACCTGTTCTTTATAAAATGTAAGCTTCAAATGTGTAATTAGGTGAATGGTGAGCGATTTCAGCTCTGTATGTGGCACACGGATCGTAAAACTTCCATGTTTATGTAAAAGTTTTCAAAAAAAATTTAAAAATGGAGGTGGTCCGGCAGAAAGTAAAAAGCCAAAACTTCATATGTATGTATACATTTTGTCTCAGCCCTGATAAAGTCTCTGGAAATTTGAATTAAAAACATTAATAAGCACATCTTTGTTTGAACACTCGCACCGTTCTTACCTCCATAAACCAGAATAATTGGGACATGATTGGGACATTTACTAATAAAAAATTTAAAAGTCAAACTCCATAATGATAGAAACAGTAAAATATTTCTTTATTCTTTTGATATTTACACCACAAGCCATCAATAGTCTGAGTAATAATGGAAAAATGTAGGAAATGCAAGTTGAGATAAACAGGAAAAAAAGCACAGTTCACTTGACATGATGTGAGCTACAGAAAACCGAGCCTACATTACAAATCTCGATGACATTTCTGCAGCAACATCAGGGTGTCTCGGCTAAACTGATAGGTGAGCTTCTTCTTCACCTTGAAGATCTCTCCAGACCGGGCGTAGTTTCTTAGCGCCCTGGACATCTTCTGGTAGGTCATGAGTCTCTTGTTGCCTTTTCTCTGTCCCCACAGTGCAGCCACCTGATCCTTATTCCTGGAGGAAAAGCGGAAAACACCGGCGGCAGCTGGCACCCAGGACAAACAGTGGGCCATGTTTGGATTCTCCAGCATCTCAAAAAGGAAGTGAAAGAGTCGCACCCTTTTACCTGCAGCCATTATGCAAACAGTAAGTGGCCTGTATGATGAAGGTGGATTTAAAGAAAGACTTATCGAAAATCATGGCAGCTGTGCCAAAACAGTTACTACAGATTACAGTTAATCGTTTCCTCAATTGTCACATATTCCCAGAAAATCTCTTCAGTGATGGGATGCCATTTAGTGGAGAGGCTAAAGCTGTAAACAGTGTGATTATCTGATAGATATGTAAAAACAGCTATTGTGGTAAGCGATGCACGGCTCCATTGTTTTTTACGGTAAAGGGAAGGTCTCTTATTTGCTCTCTTGGTATTATTTCCCTCATACTGATAGCAACAGAGACAATAACAGTATCCAGTGACCAAAAAAAGCAGAACTCACCACTCCCCCTTGCTGCGGCTGGGTGTTTGGTTGATTTTCTTGTTGTCGTGAAGCTTGGCATTGGCCCACGCTCAGACAGTGTTGCTGTTGTGTTTTGGGCGAGTCCTGCTGGAGCATCTTGTGCAAGGAAAGGCTGGAGTGTAGGTTTGATGTTCTTCAATTAGGGAAAAAAGATGAAGAGAAGAAAAGAGAATCAACAGAATTTCCAATTGCAGAGTGCTTACCAGCCTTCAAATATGTGAGAGAAAACTAGTGCTAAAATACAAATTATTGATGCATACAGGTGGCTCATAGTATGCCCAGCAATGCTTGCATGTTTCGTCTGCAGGTACATTTCTTTCCTCCATAGCCGTCCAATGCACCTTGTCTGTCAGAAAAAGCAGAAAATTACTTAGAAGCTGTAGTCAACTAAAATCAGTGAATAATTAATAGATTTCCAGTTTCCACTTACCATTTTCTGCATTGTTTTGTCTGTGATACTCCTCGAGGAACTCTAATATAACCTCCAAATCAGACTGAGTCTCCTGGAAAAAACTCTGATAGATGTAAATAATATAAAACCAGCCTTGAATATGTCAGAATTGAAAAGATGTTGGAAGTTCTCTTTACCATCACTGATAAGGTTGAGTCGAATGCTGTACCGTCCTTGCAGAATGGGAGAATTACACACAACTGACACTGAGACACTCAAGTTCGGGGACTCTTATTATACCCCCCACGGGAGCGGGCTTTCTACATACATAAAACCAAACGTTTTCTACCCTGGGCTCGCAGGAACAATGACCACCATCCCACAAAGCCCCCGACACAAGCACCAGTCAACCCATCAACAAAGCCTCCCAGCACTGACCACATCCTCCCCGCTGAACCAGATAAGACCTGGCCTGGAGGCAGCTTCTACACAATGCTCTCGATTCAGGAAAACACACACTTGCTGACACATTTTTCCTCACAGGATGTGTCTTAATTTCATATTTTGTGTGCCTGTTGTAATATTTCACTGCATTGGAGACGGTGCCAAATCTTTCAACATGTTTTTTAAAAATATATTTTTGTACGATAATAGCAGCATGTAGCTTTATTTTGAGTTTTTATTTTTTTTGGGAGAGATGTTGAATCATTGAAAGATGATGATATTTTCATATCAGCAAAACTGAACAATACTGAGAAAATGATTTTAAATTATTATATCTTAGTGTTTATGGATAAAGATTAGTGAAACCATGAAATATATTTTCCACTTACTATTTACATGTACATAAAAATGATCATTAGAATTTTAAACATTATTACCTTTTTTTTATTAGTATATCAAACATGCTACAGTATAATTGATGTTTGGTGGTAAATCTTGAATAATCTAGTGGTGATATGATGGTAATTATGAAGGCTGTAAACTAATCAAATTAAAATATAGTTTGAAAAATGTAACTAAATTCCAGGTTTTCATTTTTTGCTGTATTAGAATGAAAAAAAAAAGATTTTATATTTTCATGTTTTATTCTGTGACTTTGTCTGTAAAAAAAAGTTTAAAGTTTTACTTATTTACTTCAGGCTCTATACAGACCTTCAGTCAATCTTTCTTTTTAAAGAAACATTAACCAGCTACTGGTTCCTGTCAACATTAATTGAACTGAATTTGATTTAATTTACTCTGATTTATTTGGACATGTAAAAATGTTTACAACAGTGTTGTTGAATGCTTACACTGACATAAAAACAATCCAAAAGGCAAAAGGAAAACTGGAGCATATTAAAGTAAAACAATATGCTAAATGCACGAGATCCACATAGGTTTAAAAAAAAAAAAGAAAAGAAAGGAAGAGTAAAAGAGGCACTACAGACGCTAACAGATTTGTAATCATGAATTTCAGTTCACTAATTGCCAAAAAAAAATTTAATATTAGCAATAAAAGAAATACAAGTATACAAATTAAAATTTTAGTGACATCCTTGATTTTAACTGATGGCTTTGGATCATCCGTCATTTTAACTTTACCCCTTCTTTAAAAGTATGTGCCTGTATCATCCAACTAAAGTGTTGCTAAAGCAATACCGTTTAAATTAATTTTGTTATAAATTACAAAATGAGAATATTAAAGTCTTATTTACAAGTAATATACAGTGAAATCTCTTTCATATACTACTAAAAGCAACTTAAATAATGTACACAAACACTTCTAAATCACAGCATACAGAATCAATTTACAAAGTCTGTTACTTTTTCTGTCCCAAATTCTCAAATAATGACATGCTTTGAATAAATAGGGATCCAGAAAGAAAACCTCTAAGGAAAACCACTTTGATTTGGTTCTGTGAGGTTAATTTTACTCTTAACTTTTGTTGCTGCTGCCTTGAAGTCAATCTGGTAAGCAAACAGTATGCTAAATAATCCACACAGTACTGGTTGCAACTGCCAGAAAATGTGTATGTTGTTCAGTAAAGGTATTGAAATAAAAAAAACAAAACAAAACAAAAGAAAACAAAAAAACATTTTTATAGGTTTTTTGTAAATTAATACATTTTACAACCAGGATCCGGCATGTAACGAAAATATTTGAGTCTTTGAAAACTTTGACATCCTGAGAGCTCTCCGCCACCTCAGAGTTTGGTGTGTGAGGTGAAGCTTGCGGCCAGGTCGTAATCTTCGTGCGGCTGATAGTGAGCGTACCAGCTGTGCCAGTCTGCTGCCGCAGAGCCGCAGTAGCTCTGCTCGGACGGATTGTGCTGCTGGGTGTGGGCCTCCTCCTGTGGAGGGTGACGGGGCAGGTGCATGGGCACATGTGCAGAGCCGAGCCTGTGCAGGATGTCTGGGTTAAACTGGTAGGTGAGTTTGCGGCGTACTTTGATGATCTCCCCAGTACGGCTGTAGTTTCTCAGAGCTCTTGCCATTTTCTGATAGGTCATAGTCTTGCGGTTGCCCTTACGCTGGCCCCAGCACTCAGCCAGCTTCTCCTTGTTTTTGGAGATGAAGTGGAAGGTGCCGCTGCCGCTGTCCGTCCACTGGATTGAGTCGCCCATGTTGGGGTCATTCAGAGCCTCGTGCAGGTATTCATAAAGTCTGAGCTTCTTCCGACCTGAGGAGACGGACAACAGCGTCGTTTCAGTTTTGATTGCACAAAAAAGTGTAACAACAACTAATTTTCAGGTGTTTTTAAAACACTGATCACCTTTGCCATTCCTTTGTGGTGGTAAGATGGAGTAAAAATGTGGGGATTCATTTTGCACTGAGTGACTCAACGCAACATCGGGTATGACCTGAGGCCAAGACTGCTGCTGTAAAAAACACATTTCATATAAATATCCAGATTTCTATAATCTCTGTTCTCAAACTTATCAATGCTTTACACTTACAGCCATGTCATTCCAGTCATAAACAGGAGTTGGGACTTCAGACTGGTGTGTGACGAGGCAACAGGAGATCTGACACTGCAGTGATTGGTGGTGACTTCCCAGATTCTCGTAATATGAATAATCTGAAAAGACAATTTCAACTTTAGTACATCAAAAATCATGTAAAACTTTAAGAATAAAGACTCAAATTGTGTTTTTTACCTCACCACAAAGAACCCCTCCCCAAATAAAAACAATTCAATCAATCTAACAGATCCGTAAAGTTCACCTGAATCGTAGTATGAATTGTTCGAATGTTGCTGAATCACATCGATTGCATCCTGAAAGTGCTGATTGATGTCACTGTCCAAAGATGTCTGAAATACAAATCCGCCTCATTTTATACAAAATAATATAAAGAGGTAAAATAATAATAAAGCATGAAATGCATTTAATATTTATTTAAAAATCGAAACATTTGTAATTAGCATTTATTCTAACTCACCAATTTGTATGTGTTTCCCTCACTTGAGGCCATTTCTGTCCCTACCGGTGAGCGCTGCTACACTAGTGCAGGTGCACACTTTGGACAGGTATATATATGTAGGAGACCTCCAATACCCGTTTGCCGTTCAGCCACATAATAGAAAGAGAGGCCGGTCAATTTAAATGTTTTAATGTACCGCACTTCTTCTTTTTTGGAAGCACAGACCAGATAGACTTCTAAGCATCACTTTCTCTCTCTCTCTCTAATCACGCAGATTACAATCTACCAAGAACAAAAACCTCTTTTATTGCGTGCTCCAACCAGGGATAACACCAATTCTCAGCCTTACCTAAGAATTTGCATACTGAGCGAGATGTCACTAACATATCTATAATCTGGGCTGTCCAGTTATTCGCTTTTTGGAAGAATGAAATATGAGTCAGTGGAGCTGCAGGAAATTTTCCATTGTGGCTTTCGTCTTCTGCAGATAAATAAATTAGAATCTTCCTAAAAAGTTAGAAGATATTACAATAAATTCACAGAACACTAAAAGAACCAAAAAGTGGATTTTAACTTATCTTCCACTGTAACTTTTACATCCACTGTAGCGTCATTTTTCGATCATTTATTTAGCCAATTCAAAGTTTACTAATGCAACATTAATCTGAAATTCTATCGCTACGCCGCACAAAAAGTGCAATCCTAGAATTTCCGATGCATTAAACAAAAAACATTAAGTTAAAATCAGAAAGAAAAGCACTAAAAACAGTCATTATTTTTTCTGTACAATAAACATGATCATTAAAGAGAAACAGCTGGCACGGTTTACAGTTATGTACTTATTAATAGAAGAAAACAAGCTTCATATTCAGGTGTACAAGGACTCTGTGTGGAGCTGAAGCCAAATAAAAAAGCCACAAGCATATAAATTTTCAATGCTTTTAATGCAGCTTCAGATAAACGGGATTATAAAGGTTAATGGTTAATAATGCGATCACTGTCGAAGTAAGCCTGAGTCTTTTTCTTTCTTCTTTTTTCCGCACCACAGAGCTAACCCCCCTGTTCAAATAAACATTGGCTTTTTGAGAAGTTCTTTTTCACAGGCGTGGAGTTTTAAATATCAACTGACTAGTTCCTGAAGTTCCCCTTTCAGCTCAGTTAAAGTTTGCAGGCAGTCAGGCCTGAGTGCACAGCTGGAAACGTCATGGAAACAAAGATGTGGACCTGCAGAGATTATAACTTATATTAGGGTTATGTTAGCTTCACTCAGATGATGTGATTTGCATTTTAATTCTAAGATGTTTTTACTCTTTAACACAGTTTTCCCCCAATAAAAAAACACTACCTTATTACAGTTAATTATCCGTGTGTGTGTGTGTGTGTGTGTGTGTGTGTGTGTGTGTGTGTGTGTGTGTGTGTGTG